ACTTCCAGATTCCGTCCTATCTGAGCTCGGAACACGATGGTAACCATCTTCTGGTAAGTGGCGCCTGCATTCTTCAAGCCGAAGGGCATCATTACATAGCAATAGATTTCATCACCAGCATAGAATGAGGTTTTTTCTTCATCCTCAGGGGCCATTGGGACCTGGTGGTAACCTGAGTATGCATCCAAGAGACTCAATCTTTCATTCCCCGAAGCTGCCTCCACCAGTTTATCAATGTTTGGCATTGGATAACAATCCTTTGGACATGCGTCGTTGAGGTTAGTGTAATCGATGCACATTCGCCACTTACCGTTTGCTTTCTTGACCAACACCGGATTGGCGACCCATTCACAGTAATCTACCCTCCTGACGAAGCCGGCTTGTAGGAGTTTCTCAACTTCTTCTTTAATAACCTTTAACCTCTCCCCCCCGAAGAGACGTCGCTTCTGTGCTACTGGTTTCTTGAGGGGATTGGTACTGAGTTTATGTTGAAAAACTGAAGTGGGGATTCCCGGCATGTCTGCTGAAGTCCATGCAAAAACATCTTTATTAGCCCGAAGAAAAGATATTAACTCTGCTCTTTCCTCTGGGTTTAATTTAGTCCAGATTTGCGTTTTCCTGCTCGGATCTCTGTCATCAATCTGCACCTCCTCCACATCTTCGACTGGAGCAGCTCTGGTTTCATCCTCTGGTCGGTTATCTATGATTTCAACACCCATAACTTGCCGATCATCAACAATCTGGCCGGGATTAATCTCGGGTGTCTGAGTCTTGCCCTTCTGAGGTTGTGTTACCGAGGTGATGTAGCAATGCCGGGCCACCTCCTGGTTGCCTCGCAGTGTTGCTATTCCCGTAGGGGTTGGAAACTTCATGCATAGATGAGACTGGGAAACTACGGCTCGGATCTCAGTTAGTGTAGGTCGGCCAACGACAACGTTGAAAGAGGACGCCATCTTGACCACGAGAAACCGCACCGTAGGGGTCACATAACTTCGGTCACTCCCAAATGCAACATTCATGGTAAGTACTCCCTCGACTGGAACTGGTTGGTTGTTGAACCCGTAGATGGGGCCATCATACCTCTGCAACAGAGCTGGATCTATCCCAAGACTCTCAAAACAATGGAAGTACATGATGTCTGGTGCACTTCCGGTGTCAACAAGGACACGTTGCACTTCACAATTGTTGATTGTGACGGAAGTAACTAGGGGATCATTATGAGGTGTGACAACTGTTTCAAGATCAGCAGATGTGAAAGTGATGGGTTGATTCTTCCACTCAGCATCGTCAAACTTGCGCTTCTGAGCCCGGTTCTGGTGCTTAACCTCCCTGACATACAGCTTTCTCTGTTTAGAGCTCAGTCCACCTGCTTCCAGACCTCCCGTAATCATGTGTATGACTCTAGCTGGTGGTGGGAGTGGTGGTGGGGCCTGCTGATATCCCACGCCTTGCCTGTTTGGGGGATTGCCGACTCCTTGATGCTGTGTTCCCTGTTCCCTGACAAATCGTGGCTGCTCAACTCTCTGGATGTACTCATTCAGCAGTCCTTTCTGCGCCAGGCTTTCCAGTTCGGACCTCAGACTATTGCATTGTTCTGTTGTATGACCGTGATCT